TCTCTCTCTCTCTCTCTCTCTGTCTCTCTCTCTCTGTCTCTCTCTGTCTCTCTCTGTCTCTCTCTCTCTCTCTCTCTCTCTCTCTCTCTCGTGCGCACTCTTAGTCTCATTGCTTTGGCTACCTTAGGGCTGCGTTCCCCATGCCCACGCAGTAGACAATATATTACCTCGAGGTGCTATAGTCTCTATCATTGGTAGGTACACGGCCACCATCTGCCCCCGTACCTCGGTGATCAACTAGACCCTCTCCAGTCGCTGTATTCTTTCTGTCATTACCCAGAATGGCTCCAATCTCGGTCATCGGAAGGTACACAGCCACTTTCTGCCTCCATACCTCTGTCATCAACTGGGCCCACTCTGGACTATTTGTCATAGGAAATCATGCAATTCCTCCGCCACAATCACCCCCTTCAACCATCCTACCCCCGCAAATACCTTTGTCATCAACTGGGCCCACTCTGGACTACTTGATACGAAAGCATGCTATGTAACACTACAATTGCCTCCTTCAACCATCCCACCTGCAGCCCCAGCGCCCCCAAACTGAGGCCCTAATATAACCGGCTATTCAATCATCCACTCCACTAGGCCTACCCAGCCGTCAGTCCCCTTGCTCTCAGTCCAGCCTGAGATCAACGTCACCTGACCCCACCCCCTAAATGCCAGACTACTCCGTGCTTGGCGACCGATCCCACTACTGAAACCCGTGGCCCATCCCTCCCTGCACCCCAGCTGTATCTGTACTGTGTGACGTCCCGCTCAGGGTAGAGCCACAGACCACTCCTTGGCACAGCTACCTGCTTCAACCCACTGAGGTGCTACATGTGCTGATCCATCTATTTGCTGTAGTAGGCTGTGGGACAAGTACTGGGCTGCCAACCTAGCACCAACTGAAAGTGCGCAGTGGACGTTGAGCGCTACAGAATCGAACCTGCAACTTGGCCTTCCAATGCCAGAGCTCTAAGCCACCACTGAGCAGAATGGGATTGCGTGTGCAAAGCAAAGCTGCACTGGCCTAATCTGGCTGTTGATGAAGAGATCATGTGCTCAAACCAGTGACATTGGTGGCCATTCTTTCTTTCTTTCTTTCTTTCTTTCTTTTTTTTTTTTTTTTTTTTTTGGGAAAACTTTATCTGGCACCCCTGTAATTTCCATTATTTTGCGTCGCGCCTCTCCGACGGCCCACTTACCCTGTCGTGCCCCTGGGGCCTCTGAACTTTCCTGCATGCCCCTGTCAGCAACGGGGGCAACTTTCCGCGGTGGCCTTACTGGACGGCCAGTCTCATTTCACCGGTCCCTGTGCGATATGCCCTCATGAGTGGCATACATCTTTCCATCATGCCCTCGTGCGAGAAATTTGGATTTGAAGCATGTGGTTTTTGTGGCGCTGCCGCAAAAAATGAAGTGTGTGTGAGACACACACACACACACACACACACACACA